GTATCATAGGCGAAACAGTATACTCTGTTATGTCCATGGTACTGCTCATGTCTGTAGGCGACGGTTACCGCTTTCCATCAGGTGGGTCATTAGCTTGTTTCACTATTCTAAGTTGTATAAAAAAAATCATTCATTCAATGATGTAGGTAGGTATTTGATATTATAACATGAATGGAGGTAAAGATTATAATAGAATCTATAAGCCGGCAATATACCCTGATAGGTCGACTTCTAGGCGATTTCCCTTAGAAACTAACGATGGTTCATTCCTGATGGATATATCAGTCCTTCGTCATACTTTCTTTTCTCGTGACTGTCGTAAGAAGCGACTTAGGGAACTTAATGGCCGAGGGCAGCAATATCCCTCTTAAAACATCACCAAATCCTAATTGCGGTTGCTAACCCGCCTGCCAAGCATAGCAACTACTGGCAGAAATCCCACTATTGGAGGAGATTTATGTTTAGCAGTGGACAGTTAAAGGGAAAAGAGAAAAATGCTATTCAAGATGGCAACGATGGACAAACAAAAGAACATTACGAAAAAAAGTACATTTATTTATTTAAGTCCTTCGTCTTCCAGATATTTAATTATGTCAAACAAGGGGTTGTACCTTACTCATCTTGTGACATATCATTGTACGAACATTTTTTCCTTACTTAAACAATTTTTATTGAGTAGTAAGAAATACTACGTAATTAGTTAGTTATTTTCAGATATTGACCTTTAAATTGTAATCAAAATAAAATATTACTTTTAAAACTTATAAATATATATGTTTTGTAATGCTCTATTTTTACTTACTATTACTCGTAAATTAACTGGAAATTAATAATAAATTACTATAAATATAATATTAAATATAAATTAATTGGCAATGGTTTAAAAATTAGTCCTTTCCTATCAAATTTTATGACTACTCATTGAGCCTTTAAAGCATCAAGTGGTAGCAAACTAAACTCACTTTCAAATTTATAATATTAATATAAATTCCCTTACTCTATATCAATTTGTTTAATAAACTTTAATACAGTCGAACTAACATCACGGTATTATACCTGCATACCTAGTTTATAAACTCAGTATTCTCAGTATTGTGAAATATGGGGATTTTCAACTGTAATAACAACTTATGAGTAGAATGTGCCTTTGATATCCTATTTATCGCGTGTATTTTCTTTTTATATGTTTTACGACTTGCTTATCTATTTTTCGAGACGGTATTCCTTTGAAACGGGTCCTTTCCTTGGACCCTTTTTGTCCTACTGGTATGATCATATCTCGTCGTATTACTGCAATCCTTCCATGAAATACGAACCCTCATAACGACCGATTCTTTTTCGTTCAATGAAGCGACTATATGACGTGTGTTTGGAGTATGACAAATATTTCTCACACATTTTTGTTTCCCTGCCTATATTTGTAGTATGTATTATATGCATATTTAATGCTATATAATATTTAGTCCAGCTTTTACACATTTTTTTGTAATATGATGAACAAAGAATAAATAAATAAATACTACTAATAAAATATAAATGATAGCCATGTAGATGCCGGCGTAGAATAAGCCACCCATTCCTTTTCTGTGAGTGTCGTAAAAGGCGACGAAGGGAGCTCATGGTGAAGGAATGGGTAGCAGCGTCCCTCATAAAACATCATCAAAAACCAAACTGTGTTTTCCAACCTGCTTGCGAAGCGTGGTAACTACTGAAAAAGTCCTCCTTATGGGGGAGGCTATAGCCAGCAGTGGACAGTTAATGGCTGAAACAACTGATAAATTATATAAAAAGTAACAAACTATTATATGCTATGAACAATATCAGGGATGCTGCTGCCCACCACTCAGCTTTTTTGTTCTCTTATTTGCCTCTCACGATACCCTCGTGAAAGGAAGTGGTATTCTATGTCAAAACCATATTGTCACACATTTATATAATTTAATTAAAATCCATTGATATTACTATACTAATATAAATCGTTGTTTGTGGAAATCTATTTCATTATAATATATATATATATATATATATATTATATATATATATATATATATATATATATATATATATATATATATATATATATATATATATATATATATATATATATATATATATATATATATATATATATAATAGAAAAAAATAGGAAAAAGCGTGCACGTGAATCTCAGAGTCGTTTGATTTTACCCATGACATGTATTTGGACGTCTTTATGATTATAAAGTTAATTCTAACCAATTAGCTATTAGGTGAATAATCCTGTAATAATTTTGTCTTAACCCTTTGTAATGAAATCGTTGTCTCGTGACATTACAGCTTATTACAGTGTTCATTAAAGGATACGTGTAATCAAATTTAATCCATCCCTGTGAATATTGATTAGGTATATGTATCGAGACGGCAAATTGAATTAATCAAAATTATAACAATATACAGGAGGGTTCTGATTGGAAATTACGTAGTTGATTTTGAAAGCTTGTTTGTATAACTTAACATGGCAGTAATGATTTATTGTTTATCAACGCAACTGGTTTCGAAGTAACATTATATTACATAAATATACATATTTTCAAACGACTTCGAAAAGACTCTTTTTGAACATACAAATTCACTTTGTTATTTAGTAACTAGGCTAGTATAGGCTGAGTTTATAGTTTGCTATAAACTCAGTCCATAAGCATGTCTGTTACTAGTTGCCAAATTGCTATATAGTCAAAGACTATTAATTTTCAGCGGACTTAAAAATGGAAGAGGTTTTAAATTCGGTTGTATTTTTTTAAAAGCCTATTTGTACAATTTAACATAACAGTAATGTTTTATTGTTTACAAAGGTGACAGATTTTGAAATAACATTATAGTATCACGTAAATACATATTTTCAAACCACTTCAAAAAGACTCTTTCTTTCTGAACATACAAACTCATTTTCTCATTTAGTAACTATACCTACAGACTGAGTTTATAACAAACTATAAACTCAGTCTATTACTAGTTGCCAAATTGGCTATATGTCTATGAATTTTTAAAGAATTTAAAAACTGAGAAGTTTCTCAATTCGGTTGTATTTTTTTATTTATGTGTGTTACCTCATAACTTCATGAGTTGTAAAATTTGGAACCGATTTGGAAAATTATTTTTTTATCTGAAAGAGTATACTTACAGATTAGTTCCGTAGAATTTTTATCAAAATTGGCTAAGTAATTTAGTTTTTAGATTAAAAGATCTGATTTTGTTACAATTGAATTTTTTTTGCTATTTTTTTTTGTATTATACATTTATTATCATTATAATACATTTATTATTAGGATCTTTAGTTATACCATAATAGCTTCTACTCGCGACTTTGTCCGCGTGACCGGGAAATGTCTACTGACCGGGATAAAAAGTAGCATATATTTTATTTCCATCCCATAAAGTATGTGTATACTAAATTTCACAGTGATTGTTTCGCCATTAAGGCGTTATAATGTAACAAAGGAACAAACTCACTTTTACATAAATAAATATGGGCTAGAGGATATAATTTTATCAGGAATATTATTATAATAGAAATGAAGAAATATAACTATTCAAGAATGCATAAATCTAAAAAAATGTTTCTTTCTTCTTTCTTTCTTTATTGAAAACAGAATACGAACAAAATCACTGTGTTACAATTTTATTTCTACAAATGTAAATAATTTTCTATGAAATATATCATTTCATTAATATCACAACTGTATATTTAAATATGTACGTCAAAATATACGCGGCGAATTCGTTTAATATATAAATAACTGTTTGCCTCTTTACAGTTATGTGAATTTTCATTACGGTATAAATTAGAATACATCGTGGAATTTTAATAAACATCTGTCGTTAAAATTGTATTTTATTGAAAATTGGGCTTTGAATAAATAAAACAAGCTCTCCAATATTATTTTATATTGGTCTTCTCTACTGTGCTACTAGGAAGTCAATGCAAGTCTGCTCTCTAGCGCATAGAAGTATCGCTCGAAAAGGAGTGGGGCGGTGACGTAGGAAAGTGAAAGTTAAATACATGAGTCATTCAATATCAGTCTTTAGTCAAATGAAAGATTAATTTTTGCACATTAATTTAAATAATATTTAATTTTGATATTGACGTGTGCCATAATTTGCTAGTCACATTGCTCGAAGAACCGACAACCGATGGGGAAGAAAGGTTCTTGTGTGGCGACTCCGTACGGGTAAACGCAGTATGGGACGATCCCCCACTAGATGAAATGCATTTTTTTTGATGGATGAAAATGGAATAGCAGCTCCACCTGCGCTACCGGTATACACAGGTGGAGCACCAGTGAAGGGTGATCGATGAAAATGAAAACAGTCCAGTTAGCCCATAATGATGAATTCATCAGGAATTAACCATGATAGTTTCCAAGGGGAACCGCGAGGAGGTCCACCTGGTTGGGTATATTGCTAGCAATGGGATTCTCAGTCTCCATTGCTAACAATCCCATTCCCCCCCTTGAAATGCATTGTAGGAAGTTAGTGGGTGCAGGTGGCTCAAGACCGTTCCTTAGGGTAGTCTATGGGGAGACCTATGTCCAGCAGTGGACAGATAATGGCTGAAATGATGATGAATATGCGTGTCATAATACAATTATAGTAGACTAAGAAATAATCATGTTTCGCATTTGCGAATTCGTCCCGGCATAGTATAGGCCACCCCTGGCCGTGTGGTCCTGGTATAGAAAAGACCACCTTTTGCCGTGGGTGTCGTAAGAACCGACAAAGGTAGGGCGAGAATTGGACAGCAACGTCCCTCTTAAACATGTCTAAAGCCTGACTGCGGTTTCCAATCCGCCTGCCATGCGTGGCAAATACTGGTAAAACCCCCCAAGGGGGAGATTTATGTTCAGCAGTGGACAGTTAAAGGCTGGTATGATGACAATTATAAATAAATAATAAATAAAATTCTTATGGTTTAGGATAAATAAAATAAAAATGTCATCAAATTTTCAAATTTACATTTTCAGGTTGCATAGTGGTGGTGTCATATTCTCTTATGGGCAGAAGGTTATGCTCCGTGTTGCCTCCCTTCGACCAGACAGAAGGCAGTGTCAACAGTCAACAGGTAAGCTCTTAGTGAGCTTAACACTTTTTATTGCTTTAAAGGAAAATAAATACACATTTAAATCACTACATGGAATGCTCAGAGGAATTTTATTTGAATTAATTTACAGGGTACAGAGGAATAACACCTGAGTCCTCAGGAATGGCAACGCATGAGGGGTATTATGGGCGAAACAGTATACTCTGTTATGTCCATGGTACTGCTCGTGTCTATAGGCGACGGTTACCACTCCACCACTGTCCATCAGGTGGACCGTCAGCTTGTTTGCTATTCTAAGTTGTATAAAAAAAAAAACTTAGCCCGAATAATGGGGTTAATATTGGGCTATATTTAAGACAGAATTTTTTTTTTGTTTTTTTTTCACTGTTGATCACCATCACGCGTGATGTTAGATGAGCTAATAGGTCCACAAAATATTCTCATTTATATTAATTAAGTCTATATAAAATATATTTTGTATTCAGATATAATTTGCCGTGTGGTCCCGGCATAGAATAAGCCATCCCTTCCTTTACCATCCCTTCCATTTCCATTATTCGTAATAGCTGTTAACTGTCCAGTGTTGAATATAGACTTTTAACTATTGGGAAGTTTTACCAGTATTTGCCATGTTTGACAGATAAGTTGGCAATCGCAGTTAGACTTTGGCGTTTTAAAAAGGACGCATAAAAAGGGAATCTCATTTTATGTCAAGACCACATGGCATTAATGTTTATATTTGGATAAAACTGTACTATTTCTCAGTAAGAGAAAGAAGAGAAGGATTAGTATTACTATTCTTAACTCCTCATTGATGCTAGAACAAGAGGCATTGAAGTCAGTAATCTGAGGATAGTCATCCCCAGTGTTAATTCGGGGCAAAGGGGCTCGCCCCGAGATCCCAACCTGAGCCTACCTCGGAAAGTAAAGAAATTTTGCGTAATAGTCTTTCAAGTTCTTCAAATAAGGGGTAAACAGGTTTCCTCGGGAGGAAAGGGATCGTTAGTAATGGAGACTGAGAATCCCATTGCTAGCAATATAGCCAACCAGATCGACCTCCTCGCGGTCCCCCCTGGAAACTATCATGGTTAATTCCTGGCGAATTCATTATGATGGGTTAACGGCCTGTTTTCATTCTCATCGATCACCCTTCACTGGTGCTCCGCTAGCGTATCCCATTAGCGCAGGCGGGATTACCATTCCATTTTAACCCATTAAAAAAGTTGGTTTCTTCAGGGTCAGCGACTCGCGTAATGCTCTTGTACAGGCGTTTGTAAACTACGGTAACCGCTTACCATCAAGTATGCTTGTTTGCCATGTCAATAGTTTAAAAAAAATCAAGACAACAATATACATTTACAATATTTATATTCAATCATTACACTGCTTCATAATTATTACATTAACGGAAACGCTCAATGCGTTTTTTTTATACAACGTAGAATGGCAATTAAGCTGACGGCCCACCTGATGGAAAGTGGTAACCGTCGCCTATAGACATGAGCAGTACCATGGAAATAACAAAGTATACTGTTTCGCCCATGATACCCCCCATGCGTTGCCATTCCTGAGGACTCAGGTGTTATTCCTCTGTACCCAGTAAATTCACGCCATATCCCACCCTTCAAAGCGAAACACAGCCATCCAAACACAACTGCTTCACGGTTGAAACACGAATGGGACAGAAGTACCCAAGCAATCGACTTTTGTACAAAGTCTCCCTCTGGTGCGTCACGGGATTTCTCTTTATTAAGATTTTCATACTCGTTATTATTACATTTTTATTATTACATTTACATTACAGTTATTATTATTTCGTACAATATTATTTTTAATAAAAGATACCACTTTATATAAATACACAACGCCCACTGATCCTTTTGTATCTGATCTGTTTCTGTTTTCCTCAATTCTCTACTGCATTATTTTGGTAGAAACAATAAAGAATATTTATCCATTTAATTTATTTTCTTGGAACGAGAATAATACATTTTTTTTTTGGAATATTGAATGTTACTTATTTGTTTATTGGTACATCGACAGTGTTATATACATATATATTTTTAAAATATAGTTTTTAATATTATATAAATTAAATTTACTAAAGCGATACTTTGTACAAAAGTTGATTGCTTGGGCACCTCTGTCCTATTCGTGTTTTAACCGTAAAAAACTTGTGTTTGCATAGCTGTGTTTCGGTTTAAAGGGTGGAATATGGCAGTGAATTTACAGGGTGCAGAGAAATAACACCTGAATACTCAGGAATGGCAATGCATGGGGGGTATCATGGGCGAAACAGTACACTCTGTTATGTCCATAGTACTGCTCATGTCTATAGGCGACGATTACCACTTTCCATCAGTTGGGCCGTCAGCTTGTTTTTCATTGTAAGTTGCATAAAAAGTAAAAAACATGGTAGTATATGCATGCCTGTTAAAGGTGTCCACAATATTGGCTATATAATAGTTACAATATACAAGCTAACAGATAGATTTTATAACGCCGGCAATGCACCAGCAACTGTCCTTGTGGTTCAAGTGTTCATGGGCAATGATGGTCACTATTAATGAAAAAAGAAATATTTAGTGTATCCGCGACTAACTGACACAGATCTCAGATTCACTAAAGAAAATGGGTTTGTTTTATGGCCTAAATATTTGAGTTAGTCATTGCATACGCATAATAATAACTAACTAAAACTATATATACTTACATATAGTTTATACTCCTTAGATACTCTCTCCTTTCGGGGTCTTAAAGTTGACTGGAAGCAATCCTTTTAAAGGATAAGTCTAATGATAACCTAATATCTATATTATAAGTAAATGTAAAATAGTATATAAATAAAATAAATAAATAATCCAGTTACAAAGCTTAAGTACACAACTTGAACGAACTAAGAAATTCTGTTCGGAATAAAAGGACAACGTATTAATGATGATATAATATTATTAACACATTAGATTTTACTGAAATCATTCCGGAATTTTATGAGGAATATACAAATATATATTATTTAATAAAAGAATGTCTTATTCCAAAATCAAAAATAATCAATAGATTATTTTTGATTTTGCAATAAGACAGTCTACTGCTGAAATTAAAAAAAAAAAGTCCTCTATCATATAGATATCTAAAATAGGTAACTATTTAGATATGCTTAGATCTCTCTAGTATCGTAGATAGCATCAAATCTCATTTGACTGAGTGGCAGTTCGGAGCCAACTAAACAAGTTCCCCCGAGACTGAGTATTGAACTCATTTACAAAAACGAAACATACACAAGCTTTAGCTGCGATAGCTAACTGATATAAATTGAAGGTTTGATATGTTGAATGGAAAAGTTAGGTATTTGATTAGTCGCCATTTTGTTAAAATTAATCGTACTAATATCAATTCAGTTAAACGGACTTACTGCGATGACACGATGTACACCCAATTCATTTCACAAAACTATTTTTTATTAATATAATAAAACTGTAACCAAACGGTGCTTGTAAATGGAAGATATCATACCATACAATATAAGTCGTTACCTGTCCACTACTGAGCATAGGGCTTCCTTTATTGAAAAGTCTGTAGTTTCCACGTTTAGCAAGCTCATTGGCAACCGCAGTTAGGCTTTGGTGATGGTGATTAGTAGCTGCAGGTACTTCTTATTACCGAAAAAATTCAATCTTTTTCTTTATACAACTTAGAATGGTAAACAAGCTGTCTGTCTACCTGATGGAAAGTGGTAACCGTCGCCTATACACATGAGCAGTACCATGAACATAACAGAGTATACTGTTAAGCTCATGGCACTCCCTAAGCTTTGCCATTCCTGAGGACTTAGGTGTTATTCCTCTGTACCCTGTAAATTCACGCCATATCCCACCCTTCAAACCGAAACACAGCCATGCAAACACAAATGCTTTACGGTTGAAACACGAATAGGACAGAGGTACCCAAGCAAACGACTTTTGTACAAAGTCTCCCTCTGATCTCAATCTGATAAAAAATAATTAGCAAGATACACAAATTACACCTACATGTTAATTTAATAGGTAAATTAATTTAATCCTTGTGATGAGCTTATCAAAATTTAATATGAATACAAAATTTATACCATCGCTTCATATATGAAATCGTTATTTAGTCAGGCATGTCATGTCGCGATATAATTAATTTCCTTTATGGTTGGATGCAAGATTTAGTACGTGTTTTGAAAGGTAATATAACTTTTCAGTTAGATTTACGAGATAGTTATTTGGATCTATGTCATTATCATTATATCAGCTGTTAACTGCCCACTGTTGAACATAGACTTCTCCTATTTTGACTTCCTCTATTTCCCGGTTTTGCCAGTAATTGCTACGACAAAAATTTAATATGTACCCCAAGTATATTCTTATACATTACCATTTGACATTGGCTACCTCGTGAACTAGTGGTCAAGATGTTTTATACATAATCGAGATTCCGGATTCTATTCCAGTAAGGCCAAATTAGGATATGAACTTTTGTGAAATGATTCGGGTTTAGAGTATTCTAGCTTCAAAACTTGGTGTGATTGTGTGATAATACCATATTATGATGATAGTTAGTCGTGTAGTCCCGGTACAGAATGGACAACCCCATTCTTTTCCCGTGAGTATCGTAAGAGGCGACTAAGGGAATTTTATGGTCGATTTGGTGATCTTTAAACATCACCAAAACTTAACTGTGCCAAAGCCCACTGCTTATAGTGTCAACTGTAACAATATCAATATAGCTATGTATAAGCCATGCTTCACAGAAACCGAAGCAAACTTATTTACAAGTTTATTCCATAACTTGATTATATACAGGAAAATGCTCCTATGAAATTGAAATTTAGATCCAAAACTATGAACTCATATTAATCGTTATGATATGGGATGAGCTTTCTAATATTCTATCAAACGTGTGCGTTGAAACAATAGGAAAATATATTTGTCCATTGTAAAATCATAAAATTCTTAAGTGTTTGAGCCAAATACAGTAGCAGAACCAAAAGACTAATAAACTGATTTAATTAAGAATTAAAAGTATATTATTTCTCTCTTTCCAGCGATTACGACTAGTTCGCGAGAGGAAGCGGGTAGCATGGATTCTCCTGTTACTTGCCGTTCTCTTCGCGTTGTGTTGGTTGCCATACAACATCTTGCAATTGCTAATTGATGTGAACGCTGTGGAAATTGAATCTGTTTCATCCGTGTTGCCGTACACACTGCTACTAGGTAAGTAGATGTGATTATTGTTTTTGATAGTACACTATCGAATGGTAAAGAAGCTGACAAACTGCCTGATAGAAAATGGACATCGTACACAGTGACGTTGATAGTCTCACTAATACTTTGCCATTTCTAAGAACTTGAAGAATGTTGTGCTTCAATACCCTGTAATTTCCACTCTTCAAACCGGATTACTTAAATCATTGGATTCGGTAATAAATTTTGTAATAATCAAGCCAATTGGGGTAATGATTTTTTATTTCTTTTTTCAAATTTGAGTGTCTTAGGTTATGCCATAAGAACTTATTCCTATAGTATGCTTCAAGATGCTCGTTGTTTGGTATATCATACCATAATATAATGGCCAAAAGCATGGTTCAGAACTATTAATTTTCACACTCTATGTGAGATATCTAACATACAAGTATATTCAATAGAAGACGATGATACCATCTGTCGTTGTATCTACTGGATACATTGGAACTTCAGAGAAATAAAGAGTTATTCTGCCACTTAGACGAGTGAAAAGTAATTCTGGCGACAAAGGGCCTCTAGAACCTAAATTGTTGCACAGGCAATAAAAATGTAATATTTCTCTTTTTATATTGCACCAAGATCCTTATCTACATTTCAGGGCACGCGAACTCGGCCATAAATCCTATAGTGTACTGCCTGATGACGCGTAACTTTAGAAGGTCACTGCGCAAGCTGATCTGCCACGACACCGGTAACATACACTCTAGTACTCACTTCCATGTAAGTTCACACAACTACACGCAGACGACGGTGTTGCAATACTTTTTTTTTATATAAATTCCATTCGATCTTTAATTTTTTTAATGTTTTGCAAAACCAAATTAAAAGTATTGATACATCGTCCCCATACTGCTGTTTATTCGAACATAAATACAAATATACATTGTTTTCACTCCAATTACGAGTAACATCAGTGCTGGTACACAGTTTACAGAATTCTTTTTTACCAATTATCCAAGAAACACGTCCAGATCGAGTAATATTAACGATTACACAATATTTAGGAAAATATCATGTAATCGTTTGAGATTTGTTAAAGGTATTAGACCACTGGTTGTTCTTTATACATGTAACTGATTTGGAATACATGTAACTGATTTGGAATACTGTAATATAAGTGGGTATAAGGCTATATCGCTGAAGCTAGTACTAATCAGAATTCACTGTAGCCTTGGATATCTCCATTGAATATTCCACACGCCTCACCATCTGCGCTAGTGATACTGACCATATGTGTTTAACTTCATTGTAGAATTTAACTTTTATGGGACTCCAAATTGGATGACATTGTTACTTTTGCTGTATTTCTTTTGTCTCTGCTATGAAGTTACGAGATTACACCGCCCAGTATGAATCGATTTTTATAATTCTTACTGCAATTAATAGAGTTTACTCCCGTGTTGGTCTCACATTTCCATTGTCTTTGTTCTTTGGTGTGCAAAATTTTGCTGGCTGCAAAGCAAAATTTTCTTACAGACAAACGATTCTACATTAATAGATTAAAAGTTTGATTTGTGTGTTAAGAATTGGGATGGGATGTAATTAGAAAAAAAATTTTTTACAACAACAAATGTCACTGGACATATTACACAGCGTAATTTAGATCCAATCTAACCAAAGCTTATATTATTGGTACTAGAAAACTGTCAGATAGTTTTTTTATAAATATATAAGCTAGCTCGTTAAACGTCGTTCTATCATAAACTAACAGTTTATATGGAAAAAAGAAAATAAGATCTTTACGAATTTAAAGAACAATTTACTAATTTTTAAAAATCTTCGTAAATCTTTCTGCAAGATTAACGAATATTTGGAATAAAAAAAAACTTAGCACAATTACTCTAGCCACTCTCGAGTAGTTGAATTCTCATTAAGCAACTCGTTTACCGATACATTTTTATTTATATCGATACACACAAACAAACATGCATATGAATACAAATATCTGTTGATACGAGTATATAGATCGACTCCGCAGACACTGGAAGTCAATGTTATCGCTACGTAATGAAGGTCATGAAAAATCATCGTGGTAATAATCTACTAATATAAAAAAATATCGTCATATTTATTTCCAGATGCAAGGTTTACGTCAAAAATCCAACATGTCTAGTATGCGAACTTGTACCACAGTGACTTTTAGAAGCAGCAATAACCAACTGGGACGGACCACGTGTGCTCCAAGTATCCAGTACGGAAGGGTCCAGAGGAACTCTGTACGGGAGAACAGCTGGAAAGATCGACACATGAATCCGCAATTTCTGTAAGATTCACCGACAGACAGTTTCGATATCAGTGGATACCTTAATTTGGCATTTACTGTAAACTTTACTTTCTAAATACTTTTCTTTTTTACTAAACTGCTTATGAAGCAAATGGCTTCCCTGTGTGGTTTAAAATCTTTATCCTATTTATTATTTTCTATTACAATAATATCTAATTTGTCTCTGGATTGACTTTTTAAATCTATATTTATAGGTCTAGTAGCGATTTGGAAGGCAGCTCATTTTAATTTACTGTCAGGTTTACAATCTCTCATAAGAAACCCCCTTGCCTGCAAAATCCCTATAAAATTAAGGAACTTGCATTTCGTTTTAATAATTTATTGTATAATGTAAATATTATTAAAAGTACGTACTTAGTCTCGATTGTGGTTCTAAATTCGACTTTGTTTAATATGATGTTTGGATAATTTAAAAATTATTATCCCTTGCCTTATTTCATCCAGTAAACAAAACAAAAAAACCTTTGCGCGTAAACCCACAAACACACTATAGAGTACGTCCGTCAGCTGCGACTGATGGATACTAATGAAAAGTATTCACAGTATTTGTGTATCTCTCTCTCTCTTTTTCTCCTTAATCGACGTACATGTGGGTGTGCGAAACATCCAACGCGCCAAATCGTCAACGAATGTCTGACGGTGTAAGTACGATTCAAAGTTATGTATCACTGGTGTGTACAGTGTATAATGTAAATGTATTGTTCAGATCGTATCCAACAGCCGTGGTTGAAGGACGTGTCGGATGGTATGTTTGCGGCTTAAAAAAGATGGCCTAAAAACTTTTGATATTAGACAGGTGTCTTGTTTGAAGTTGGGGAAATGGTTCTGAAAATATTTTGTATATTCAAAATTGAGAAGCAATTTTAAAAGGTGTTTAAAATGATTCAGATCTCATTGAATTACCAAAGAAAAATGTTATACGGATAGATAGACAAACAGACATGAACTAATTATAAATACTCTGTATATTTTTAGGATTTAATAATCAATTAAGTTATAAAAAGGCCTAAGTTAAGGACTATACTGTAAATCGACCTCAAGCGTGTCAAGAGTGTTTAAGGTACAGTTTTGATTAATAAACGAAATTTGAGTCAAACATAACTTTAATTATTCAATAAATCTAATAGAATAATTAACTGAAAGACAATTATTCTTACATTATTTGTATTAAATTAACTATATGAAAAAATGGTGGGAAAATATTTGGTTGACAGTGGCAGATAACTTACATAAAAAAACTGGTTCTATCCCAACTATTACAAACGTAGAACAGGCAACGACTACGGTGTCAGGAGTCGACACTGCCTCTATATTGACGAAAGTGGAAAACGAAATAATGCATTTTTTTTATACAACGTAGAATGGCAAACAAGCTGAAGGCCCACCTGATGGAAAGTGGTAACCGTCGCCTATAGACATGAGCAGTACCATGGACATAATAGAGTATACTGTTTCGCCCATGATACCCCCATGCGTTGCCATTCCTGAGGACTCAGATGTTATTCACTTAGAAGTAACAACATAATAAAATAAATAAATATACATAGTTTTGTACAATTATTTATATGTGTCATACAATGAAATTAATGCCAAATTACCTGAAATTGATATAGTGTACGATAATTCGAATTCCTACAGGAATAAATTGCTGAAGCACTTTGTACAACAATCTTATGAACATTAACTCTAATTGTCATAATATATATTTTTTTTAATATTTTTTTTTAATTTAATTTAGTCATAATCTTATTTTCTGATTTTGCTCACAACTTAGATTACATGTTTATTTTTGTTATTTACTTAAATTTCTTACACTGTATAATTACGTTAAAGTGAATGCTGTGAATACCTATAATAGGCATGTGCATTAATATTGTATTGTATTTAATGTTGTTATACCTATATGTTATAATGCAATATGCTGTTGGTGTTCCTTAAATAAATAAATAAATAAATAAATAAATAAATATAATAGACCGCTGCCCAAAATATTGATGCTGATAGATATCATAAAAGACTTAACTATTTTATAGCGGAATATTATAGAATAAAAAAAAAAACAAATAAATGTTTGTATAAAATTTATTATTTAATTCTTTATTGTACACACCAGTTATAAAAAAATGACAGAGGTAATTAAATGTACAAAGGCGAGCTTAACTCTGATAGAGTTTTCCTCCAGCAACACCCAAAGTGGAAAGGAGCATCAATGTCAGCGGGTACAGCAGTGTACAATATTGTGACAATTTTTAAACAAACTAGACAAAATTAGATTAATTATATTATATTTAATTTCTTTTTCTTCAAAGTCATTCAGGCCTGTATAATTAAAAAAAAAATGTTTTTTTTTATGTGCACTCCAGTAAGTAAATATTGCCAAATTAAATTATTACGTTTAAACATGCAAATCTACTAGTATATTGTCGAAGTTCACCTATTATCATCATCTACAAGGACGGAGGTCCTTATCCTAATCGTTTGGGGTCGGTGTAATATACTTTTATCTATATCACCAAAGTTTCTGGCCTTCAGTTTTACGATCGACCGCTTGCTTGACCCTCCTTGGGACAAATTCACTAACAAAAGAAACTTTTTTACTGTTTTGGCTCCTTATTAAACATAACTGTACATATGTTATAACAGTAATAATAATTAAGAAGATCATATATGCTAGTTTTTAGCTACTTTTTTATGATATTTCATTTGTATTGTTATTTATTTATATTTTATTATATAGAAAAAATTGCATTAAATTAAAAATGTACAACAGCCGAGCTTAACTCTGTAAGAGTACTCTTCCAGCAAACCCTGAGTGGAAAGGAGCGGGCGGTGTGCGTACAATAATAGGAGGAGACAGTATTAAGAAATAATATATATGTTTACCTAAATACAAAGTAGCTTATATACTTACATTCAAAACACTGTTCATAATTATATATATATATATATATATATATATATATAGGTTATTATGGTTTTTATACTATACACAGCATGATTAACTATTGTTGAACATTGGGATCCCCATAAGTGGGGTTTTACAAGTACTTGCTACAAAAGTTAAACTTTGTTGACGTTTTAAGACGGACGCTGCTGCCCAGCTCTGGACCATTAAGTTCCCTTAGTTGCCTCTTACGACACCTATGGGAAAAAAAGGGGTGGCCCATTTGACTAATTGTCTTAATAGATTACAAAAGATTAATACTATGTGGAGATGCCGATGGCAAGATACCATTCTGAGTTTTTTTTTTTATTAATGAATCTTGTATTTTTTTTCCTTCCCTTTTATAAGCGAATGTTTACAGTACTCGAGTGATACTTCAACTTCTGTTTATTGATCAAAACAGTACCTTAAGTGTATTTATACTGAAGCTTGTTCTTAAAAATAATTTGAGATCGATTTATATATAGATCTATGAGATTTACAGTATAATTTTGTAAATAATCTATAAATTTAAATATGTTTATTTGTAATTTATTAATAATAATTCATGTAAGTAATAAATAATTCTATTTAATTAATTAATAATAAAAAAAATCTAGTCAATACCGTTTGTACATGATAATGAATAATTAAATAAGGTCATCTCTTATATTTAAACTAGGTCTTGATTACTAGATTACTAAAAGAACAAAGCATAATACGATAGTGCAAAGTTTTGGTTACAATAATCCTGTTTACCATTTTTTTTTTATACAACTTAGAATGGCAAACAAGCTGACGGACCACCTGATGGAAAGTGGTAACCGTCGCCTATAGACATGAGCAGTACCATGGACATAACAGTGTATACTGTTTCACCCATGATACCCCTCATGCGTTGCCATTCCTGAGGACTCAGGTGTTATTCCTCTGTACCCAGTAAATTCACCATCACACAGGTTCTATACTTGTTTGCTACCACAGTAGTATAAAAGAACTGTACCAAGTCAACTAGCCTATAATAATTCTAGATTCTTACGAGAAGAGTCTCATGCTGTATTAAGCTGTATTTTGACATGCTTAGAAATCGCAGTTAGGCTTTAGAGGTATTTTAAAAGGGACGTTATTGCCTATTCCTTGCTCTCCCTTACACGTCTCTTACGACACCCATACACGACGATATATTATCTTTATTAGCACATTATGTATATATATATATATATATATATATATATATATATATATATATATATATATATATATATATGTATATATGTATATATATATATATACATATATATATACATAATGTGTTAATAAAGACTATTGCTAGAGCTGATATTTTTTTATCCGCATATTCATAACAACAAACCTATTTTTAATCGACTTTAAAAAAGAAAGTACGTATGGTTGTTATGTTTTCTACCTCATGAATCCGTCACTTCTAAGTCGATTTGGATTTTTTTTTATCTGAGAAGATACTCTTACACATTGGTCCCGTAGAAATTTTATCAAAATCAATTCAGTTGTTTGGTTTTTAGATCAAATTAAACTGTTTTGTTACTTTCTTTCAAATTGGGAATTTAGTGTAAAAGAAAGAGACAAAAGAGTTCAATAGCTAAAATAGATTTATGGGAGGTTTGACATTTTTATGAACAAGGGAGTTAGTGTTTATTTATTTAGATAATAATATATTTTATTTTTATAATCGAATACTCGATAATAATCGAATAGAATAATAATCGATTAGGTACAATATTTTTTTCTTGTCAACAACGAAATAAAAATTGAAATATTGGTGAGTTGTATTAAAATTTTTGTTTTATATATTATATATCATTATCTTCCTGCCCTTATCCCAATCATTTGGGGTCGGCGTAATATGATTTTATCCATATTACAAAAAGATTTGGTTTTTAGTTTTACGACCGGCCACCTGCCTGACGTCAACCCTCTTTGGCAATGTTTTATATATTATATATAAATTATCGAAATATTATAAGATTTTTATAACACATTCAATTGTTGTTTAAATATTTAGCTTTTTCGAATACAGGGAACATCTAAGTCTTTGATAAATGTAATTATATATAAAATTGTCGTTCAAGTGTATGTGTAAAAGTAATTATGTAATAAAAAAGTTTATTTGTTAAACTAAATTAAAATAGTGTAAAAAATTTATTAAACTAAATTGAAATAATGTAAATAGGAACATATTTTTTACTATCATAAGTTTGTTTATGTTTGTAAGAAATATAACGCAATGCAATACTTTTCATGCACTTTAATTGTTTTATTAAAATTTAAATATAGGGAATGTATAATATGTATGGTACACATTGATCTGTAAACTGAAAGAGTATGCTAAATATAATGTAAACAATAACGGTGTTTTGTAAATAAATTATTATTTTCAAATTAGGTTTGTTTGATTTTTATATTTCAGTTAGTTGTGTCCCGTGGGTCTGCGCACGGGAATCAGTACATAAAGTAATTCTCTGTGCAAAATTTAGGACATGACCTGTGTACTAAATTTACTTGAAACCCGTTTAGTAACTTTTGCGTGAAAGATAGATAGTTAGATAGATACTCTTTATTGTTTCCTCCAAAAGATTACAATAGTAAACTTATTATAAATATAAATAATTACAAGAAATAATCACAATGAGAAAACAATAGGCGACCTTATCTCTAAGAGTCATCTCTTCCAGGCAACCTTTGGATGGAGAGGAGTAATTATATACAATTTGGTTGGAGGCACGATGAAACAAACAAGAGTAACAAACAGTAATTTATTCACTCATCCTTGATTATAAAATTTCGCATTTATTACATTAATAAGATGCAACGTGGAAATGCAGGTGGCTCAGGACCGTTCCTTATGGCAGTCCACGGGGAAGACCTGTGTCCAACAGTGGACGAATAATGGCTGAGATGATAATAATAATGAACCTGGAAAGAACGTTGCAAAAAAAATATGCGACCGAAAAGAGCAACGTGCATCTTTCAACTCTTGTATTTCGAAATACAGACATTCAAACACTGTTGCTTAGCGGCAGACATACAAGTCGGACAAAGCTACCCGTGCAATAGACTTTTGTTTTTGTTTAGTTTTTTATAATTTTCTATAAGTTTTCGGTCAAAAAGAGGAAAAAATAATCCATTAAAAATATAAAATGTAAAAAATGCCAAGTCTCGTAACACTGTTCTTTCACTATTAAAAATTGTAAAATCTCATGTAAAACTACGTCAGTTATCTTTGTTAGTATGAATGGAAGCACCTATTAAACAACTTCGTTAGAAAATGTTATCTTACCAATTATCTATTGTCGGCGCACAACACTAGCGATCGGCTCGCGGTCGGCCCAATCCAGTTGAGGTTGGCTCGCCTGTACCCTTTCCGACGTCCACTACATAGGACGTGCGCATAAAATTTATTTGTAAACCTTTATAATATAATCATTTAAAATTGGAGTCAGATTATTATTCATATCCACCTCGGAACATGGTGACCACGACGTGATTTTCAAGATATCAATTAATATAAAGTAACATTGCTTAAAGCCAGCCGGTCAACAGTATTAATAAAACACCGCAGCTAACGCTTAGCAAGAAAAATATTTATCTACCTCCATTACATGGGAATATATTGAAGAAATCTATATATCTGGTATTATTTGTTTCTGGAGAAGCTAATTACAACAATAAAAAACATCAACAATTACGGAAGGCTATCCACCAATTGCTTAAAGCCAGCCGGTCCACCAGCAGACTACGAGCAGTGCCGCAGCTACAGCTTAGCAAGGGAAGTGCCTTATCCTATCTTTCCTACCTAATATTATTATAATCATTCTGCCTCAATTTGCTTTTAGTTGCTACTTCTTAATCAGTGATTTTTTTCAGTATAAGTTGATTACGTAAATTTAATTTCTATTCTTTTTTTTTTTTGAGTCTATTAAATTAGGGGTACCTAATACTATTTAGTATACCTGTAGTTATTAGCGCATTATCTACAAGCTTATCGATTAATTGTAAGCTAAATAATTCAATAGTTTATCGTATAAACGTTGGTACATATCTTTTTATTATTTTATCATAACTACCCTACGATCTCAATTCAGAAAGGTAGAAGTCGATTAAAATAGATAATTATAACACTATTACAGTGAATAACCAATAGAATAGATACAATTGTATACTAATGTATAATATAACAATAGTAGGTATAATGGTATAATAATTAAGTAAAACATACGTAAAAGATATCTAAATCCCTAAGTAGAAAATTAATTTAGTAGTAGTAAATTGTTTTAGTAGTTTGTTTTATTGTATCTGTCTATTTGAGTATTATTTAGTTAGAATATAGTTTGTTGCATATTTGATTATTAGTGCTACGCAAATACTTTAGTAAGATAATTATATCACATTCAAGTAGTTGGTTATTTCATTGTAATTTTATTACTATTCACTATGAAGTAATAATAAATATTATAAATGCAACATTAACATTTTATGTTTGGTACATTTTTTATAACATTTGCAATATTTACACATTCCAGTGCACCAGCGCAGTTGCAATAAGTACCTACCGCTTACCTGGCTGCTGCACTCGCATCGCCTGGCCCTATTGTTTTCGTGCGTCGAGTGGTCTATTGCGTCATCGTCATAGGCCAGCTTGGTTACATTTACGTATCATTTATTTTATTTTTTTCTTTTCGTATATTTTTAGTTTATCAAAGTCAATCCCTTTTAAGTTTATTAAGTAAATTGTTTAAGTGTTATTTATAATGTCACACACCTCAGATCGATCTGTGAGAACACCTTTAGAGAACATTAAATTAGATGTTCCAACTATAAATCCTAGTAATATAAAGGATCTTATTACCAAACGAAGTTCAATTAAAGGTCGCATAACAAAGTACAGTAATTTTTTAACTAAATTTATTGATTCATATGATAAACATGATAAGACTAGTTTGCTTATGTTAACACAGAGATTTGAGAGATTTAAAGACTTAATGTCCATTTTTGATGATTGTCAATCACAAATTGAATTTGTGAATTCAAATAGTTTGGAGTCGGAACTTGATACAAGAGAGGAAATCGAAATTGATTTTTCTACTCTTATTGCTAAGACTCAAGTAATTTTAGAGAAAAATCAGATTGTAGATGATTATAAATCGATTCACTCTGGATCGAGTTCAGATTGTAATAAGTCATGTGGTCATAATAAGAGCTTTCACTTTAAACTTCCCACTCTAAAAATTGGGAGCTTTGATGGGACTTATTTTAAATGGATTGAGTTCAGAGACACATATACTTCGCTTATACATAACAATGATAATATTGACCCTATCCACAAATTTCATTATCTAAATTCTTACCTAGAGGGTGAAGCCTCTCGTGTCATTAGTAATTTAGAAGTTAGTGCTGTCAATTATAAAGAAGCTTGGCATCTCTTATGTGAGAGATACAACAACGAGAAGCAGTTAATACACAATCATTTAAATTCTTTGTGTAATATTCGGCCTATCACTCGCGACTCTGCCAAGGGGATAAGGTTTTTGATAGACCATGTATCAAAGAATTTGCGCGCTCTTAATAATCTAGGTGAACCAACTCAGTCCTGGGATACTCTTGTCATCCATTTAGTCTCAGCAAAACTCGACGGCAGTACTAGCATTAAATGGGAAGAACATAAAAATAGTTTTGAGAAATCGCCTTCTTTAAATGATTTCTTTAGTTTTCTTAAGCGTCGAGCAGATGTTTTAGAATCATTAAATCACATCAAGCCTGATCGTGTAGATCAGATAAAGGTAGATCATAATTCATCTCTTAATCAAAATAGAAGATCTCACTTCAAATCTTTTGTGGTTTCAGCTAAGACCCAAGCCTCTGCTTCTTCACCTTCGTGTGTCCTCTGCCGCGGTAGCCATCGTTTGTATGATTGTGCATCGTTCCTATCCAAGCCAGTAGAGGACAGAATCTCTGAAGCATCAAGGTTAAAGGTTTGCCTTAATTGTTTATGTAAGGGACACTCATCACACCAATGCAGATTAAGTCGTTGTTCTATTTGTGAGAGACGTCATAATACCTTACTACATAGGGAGTCTTCTCAACCTGTAAACTCATCTCAGGTACATGCAGTTACTTCTAATACCGAAACTGCCTTATTTGCAGTCGGACAAAATTCTGAAAGCAGTGTATGTGGCTTCACAAATCATTTTAGTAGTAACAATGCCTTGCTATCTACAGCTTTGATAGAAGTACAGAATCCAACGACGAATAAGTTCATTACAGTTCGAGCCTTGTTGGATAGTGGAAGTCAGTCTTCTCTTATTACAAAAAGAATGATAAACTTATTGCAATTGACTTCTCTGCCAATCCGGGTTGATATATTAGGCGTTGGTAATTTATTTTCTTCTAATGCGTTAGAACGTTGTGAAGTTAACGTAAAATCTAAATATAACAATTTTAAAACACAATTATCATGTCTTGTACTTCCACAAATAACCAGAAATATACCTAATAAAACATTTGATATTTCTCAACTTCACTTGCCTTCTAATATACAATTTGCAGACCCTAACTTCAATCGATCTGCACCCATAGACATGCTATTGGGCACTGATATCTTTTGGGACCTGATTGAGTCTCAACAAATTAATCTTGGACCGAATAAACCAATAATGCGAAAATCCAAACTTGGTTGGATATTAGCAGGTCCAATGTATACCATGAACACTAATTCAGTATTTTGTAATCTTGCTATTGAACATAAAGATAAAGATAATAGTAATGATTGTTTAAATGAGACAGTAAAGAAGTTTTGGGAGTTAGAACAGATTCCTCCAGCTAATAATAAAAGAACTGAGGAGGAAATATTATGTGAACAACATTTTTGTAAAAATATATAGAAATAAGGACGGTAGATTTTGTGTTAAATTGCCCCTTATTACTGCACCCGACTGTTTGGGAGATTCATTCAGGTCAGCCAAAAGACAATTTTTAGCTTTAGAAAAACGTTTCGCGAAAAATCCAATACTTAAGCAATCTTATTCAGAATTTATTAAGGAGTATGCAGACTTAGGGCATTTAACGGAATCACCTGTTTTTATTCCGAATCAATCTTTTTTTATTCCTCATCATGCAGTGTTTAAGCCATCTAGTGAATCTACTAAGCTACGCGTTGTATTCAACGGTAGCGTTAAAACTACATCTGGTTATTCTATTAATGATATACAAATGACTGGACCTTATATTCAAGATTCTTTATTTAATATTTTAATTAGGTTTCGTCAATACACATATGTACTGTCAGGCGATATTGCAAAAATGTACAGGCAAATAGAGATTCAGGACAGTGATCGTAATTTACAAATGATATTATGGCGTTTCAATGAAAATGAACCACTGAAATCTCTTAGGCTTAATACTGTAACTTATGGTTACACTAGTAGTAGCTTTTTAAGTACACGCTGTTTGTGGCAGTTAGGCGAGGAATGTGATGATCTAAATATAAAATTAATAATACAAAATGATTTTTTGGTTGACGATTTGTTAACGGGCAGTGATAATAAAGATGAACTAGTGTATATTAAGAAGTCGGTGGAAAGCGCTCTTTCCTCTGGTTGCTTTAGCTTACGTAAATATCGTTCGAACTTACCATCTATTTTGGTCGATTCACGGAACGACCAAAAGGATTTAATTATCAGTTCATCATCTCACACATTAGGTATAGGGTGGAATCCTAACAAAGATTATATACATTTTCCAACTAATTATCAAAATTCAAAAGACATTCCAACTAAGAGATCTATATTGTCAGATTCATGTAAAGTTTTTGATCCTCTTGGTTTGTTGAGTCCAATTACTATTAAACCAAAAATCTTAATCCAACGATTATGGTTGGATAACATTGGCTGGGATGATCCCGCTCCAAAAGATATCGCTAAATCATGGCAAGAATTTATTTATAATATAAAATATATATACGACATACGTATTCCAAGACATGCTTTGTGCGAATCCCCTGTAGATGTTGAACTCCATTGTTTCTGTGACGCGTCAGAGTCAGCATATGCTGCTTGCATTTATCTTCGGTCTATAAACAAGCAAGGTGATATAACTGTTCGTCTCTTATGTGCTAAGGCTAGGGTAGCTCCGGTAAAACCGTTAACTGTCCCGCGTCTCGAACTAAGTGCATGTCTGCTAGGTGCACAACTTACAAGCGCTGTTTGTAATGCTTTACGATGTGTAATTACGCGTAAGATATTTTGGACTGATTCGTCCATAGTATTGGCTTGGTTAGGTACGAGATACGATAAATTAAAAACTTTCGTGGCGAACAGAGTCAGTGTCATTCTTGATTTAACTAGTATCGCTGATTGGCATCATATTTCTACAACATTAAATCCAGCTGATTTAGCTTCACGTGGTGCCAATGCGAAGGAAATTCTTAATTTTGATTTATGGTGGCAGGGTCCTTCATTTTTGCGTAAAAATGTTTCTTTATGGCCCACTTCAATTCCAACAGGGATACAGGTTAACAATTTGCCTGAAATAAAGGTGAATGTTAACATGTGTAATGAAAGTGTAGAATCGATAATAGATTTTGATCGATTTTCAAATTTTACTCGTCTACAGCGTACCTTTGCATTTGTGTTTCGATTCATACATAATTGTAGATACCCTTCAAACAAGCAGATTGGTATCTTACAACTTGAACAATTAAATTACTCGTTTGAATTTTTAGTTAAAGTAGCTCAGGAACAAAGTTTTCCTAAAGAAATAACTTTATTACGAAACAATAAATTTCTTAGTTCTAAAAATTATCTATGTTCGTTGAGTCCTTTTATAGACAGTAATGGTATCCTGCGAGTAGGCGGACGTTTGAATTACTCTTGTTACACATTTGATAAATGTCATCCTATGCTACTTCATGCTAAGCATAGACTCACCAAGTTGTTTTTTCAGCGGGAACATATACGTCTTCTTCATGCTGGTCCTCAGCTACTTCTGTCCTCGGTTAGAGAATCTGTCTGGCCTATAGCTGGAAGAGATTTAGCGCGTACTGTAGCTAGACAGTGCACTGTATGTAGAAGGGCAAGCGGTAGAACATCAACACCATTAATGGGTGCACTACCCAAGCAACGCGTAAATCCAGATTTTCCTTTCATTAGTACTGGTGTCGATTTTGCTGGACCATTCTTTATAACTAACAGAAAGGGTAAAGGTTCTCGAATAACAAAATGTTATCTGTGCGTTTTTGTGTGTCTTAGATACAAGTGTCTGCACTTGGAAGCCGTGAGTGAACTTTCTAAAGATGCGTTCATATTATCACTGCGTCGTTTTATCTCTCGCAGAGGTAAGCCTTTAGATATATTTTGCGATAATGGTCGCAATTTTGTGGCAGCTTCTAAAGAAATTAGACAGTTTATTAGCGCCAACACTGATGACATTTCAGATTTTTCTTCCAAGGAAGGTATTAAATTTCATTTTCAACCAGCTTATGCTCCGCATTTCGGGGGTTTATTTGAAGCAGGCGTGAAGTCAGCCAAATATTTTTTAAAGAGGATTTTAGGTAACGCTCATCTCACATTTGAAGAAATGGCAACGTTGTTTAGTCAAATTGAGGCAATTCTTAACAGTAGACCCCTATGTCCCTTGTCGTCCTGTCCCGATGACCTTCAATCCTTAACCCCAGGGCACTTCCTTATTGGAAGACCACTTTTGTCGTTACCGACACCTAATTTGCAGGATAAAAAGATAAACCGTTTAAACAGTTTTCAACGGTTGGAGCTTTTACGGCAGCAATTTTGGAAACGCTGGCAGTTGGAATACGTGTCTGAATTGCAGCAAAGGCAGAAATGGCGGATCCCAGATAGACAGCTTCAAATAAATGATTTGGTACTGTTAAAGGAAGATAACTCCCCTCCCATGTGCTGGAGAATGGGTCGCATCTGCTCTCTGTTTCCAGGTCAAGATGGAGTGGTGCGCGTTGTTGAGATTAAAACTGCAGCAGGCAATTTCCGACGTGCTGTAAAGTATATCTGTCCATTGATGGAGCCATCAGAGGAGACTTCATTGGAAGCTGATGCTTCCAAGGCCCCGGAGGATGTCGGCGCACAACACTAGCGATCGGCTCGCGGTCGGCCCAATCCAGTTGAGGTTGGCTCGCCTGTACCGTTTCCGACGTCCACTACATAGGACGTGCGCATAAAATTTATTTGTAAACCTTTATAATATAATCATTTAAAATTGGAGTCAGATTATTATTCATATCCACCTCGGAACATGGTGACCACGACGTGATTTCCAAAATATCTTACGCGTAATTACACATCGTAAAGCATTACAAACAGCGCTTGTAAGTTGTGCATCTAGCAGACATGCACTTAGTTCGAGACGCGGGACAGTTAACGGTTTTACCGGAGCTACCCTAGCCTTAGCACATAAGAGACGAACAGTTATATCACCTTGCTTGTTTATAGACCGAAGATAAATGCAAGCAGCATATGCTGACTCTGACGCGTCACAGAAACAATGGAGTTCAACATCTACAGGGGATTCGCACAAAGCATGTCTTGGAATACGTATGTCGTATATATATTTTATATTATAAATAAATTCTTGCCATGATTTAGCGATATCCTTTGGAGCGGGATCATCCCAGCCAATGTTATCCAACCATAATCGTTGGATTAAGATTTTTGGTTTAATAGTAATTGGACTCAACAAACCAAGAGGATCAAAAACTTTACATGAATCTGACAATATAGATCTCTTAGTTGGAATGTCTTTTGAATTTTGATAATTAGTTGGAAAATGTATATAATCTTTGTTAGGATTCCACCCTATACCTAATGTGTGAGATGATGAACTGATAATTAAATCCTTTTGGTTTGTTGAGTCCAATTACTATTAAACCAAAAATCTTAATCCAACGATTATGGTTGGATAACATTGGCTGGGATGATCCCGCTCCAAAGGATATCGCTAAATCATGGCAAGAATTTATTTATAATATAAAATATATATACGACATACGTATTCCAAGACATGCTTTGTGCGAATCCCCTGTAGATGTTGAACTCCATTGTTTCTGTGACGCGTCAGAGTCAGCATATGCTGCTTGCATTTATCTTCGGTCTATAAACAAGCAAGGTGATATAACTGTTCGTCTCTTATGTGCTAAGGCTAGGGTAGCTCCGGTAAAACCGTTAACTGTCCCGCGTCTCGAACTAAGTGCATGTCTGCTAGGTGCACAACTTACAAGCGCTGTTTGTAATGCTTTACGATGTGTAATTACGCGTAAGATATTTTGGAAATCACGTCGTGGTCACCATGTTCCGAGGTGGATATGAATAATAATCTGACTCCAATTTTAAATGATTATATTATAAAGGTTTACAAATAAATTTTATGCGCACGTCCTATGTAGTGGACGTCGGAAACGGTACAGGCGAGCCAACCTCAACTGGATTGGGCCGACCGCGAGCCGATCGCTAGTGTTGTGCGCCGACATCTATCAACATTTATAATGACCGTATTAATATTAGACATTTTTATTTTTATATTAAATATAATGTACACGATATCATATTTTACTAATAAAATAAGTTATTCTTCAGTGCGATGTTTAGATTTACTTAGAAATTGAAATAATAGATTTTGTATTAGATTATTCATTTGCCGTACAAATGCCACGTCATTATAATTGTTATAAAAATTAAAATCTCTAATATTGTTATGGCTCTCAGTGGATGCAGGTAGCTCGGGACTATTTCTTGTGGCTATCTATGGGGGGGGGGAGGCCTTCAGTAGTGAACAGATAATAGCTGAGATGATGGTGAGTACAGTCACTATAATAGTATAGTAGGGCTGTCCTCGACTTAGCGAGTGCACTGCCGTGCCCCCTAACATTAAATACGCATAGTTACTTACTAATATCATGGGTATAATATAATACTATACTTAATTTTATATTATCTGTGCCTTTATTATTATTAAGTATGTTCTATTCCTAATGACCACTATTGTCAAACTATTTCTTAATACAGAACGTGAGTAGTTTATTCTCGCAAACATAGATGGAGTTAAAAGTACAATATTTAAAAATCTTACGCCATCTATTGGCGTATAATAAACTTTAAATTTGCAAAGTATCAGTATTAATGTCCTGCCTTATAAAACTGTATAATTCCAATTTATACGATAGAAACAAATAATAGGTTTTAATTTTGTTACAAGTTACAGCTACCATCGGAAAGGTCCGAGGTCAATATCCTGATATATTTAGTATATATAATAAAAATATAATAAAAAATATATAATATGAAGCAGTATATATCCAGTATTACATATATTTCTGTACACGAATAACTCTCTCGCTGTGGAAGAATCGCTAATATCCCTTTGGTGCTACGTTGTATTAAAATTATGTGAGAAAATTTAGTTTAAAGAATATTATGTTCATCACAATGATTATAATTGGTAATTTAGGTCTCTAACTGCCGCTTTATTGATTACAGTCGTTAGCAGTTAATTTTTTTATTATTAAAATATAGTTCGTTATAAGATTCAGAGTCTCAGATCGCATTGTTTAATTCAGCGACATCTATCGCAAAAATGCAGCGGTTTGTATTCGCCATTTCCCTTTGAAGCAGACAAGCAACATTTATCTATATGATTGGGTGAAAATAAGCAAAATGAAGTTCTGAATTGCATCCTATCCCTGGGTCATTAAGTTCCCTTAGTTTTCTCTTACGATTACGATTTCTCCCACGTTAAAGGAAAGGGTAGTCGATTCTATCCCGGGACCACACTGTAGGAACTCTTATTGTATTTTATTTAAAATATTCTTTCATTCGATATTTATATTGAGAGATGAGCAAAAAAAATAATACAATGTTTGTATGAATACATGAATATATTAAGTTATTATCCCTTTTTGTCATCAAACAAAAAATATGTAACAAATTGCCAGTATCACTAATTTTTTTTATTTTTTATTTTATTTTATACAAAAATCCACAGCTCTTAAAAAACAACTTACATGCTAAGTCTCTTATGAATACAGCCAATAACGGATTTTATTTATACGAACAAAAATTTTGATTCCAAAGCGAGGTAGGAAAGTTAGAATGGGTGTATGCAAGTAATATAAGTGCATGTATGAAATGCATAAGCGATTTTATTATAATATGTATATAAAGAATTTTTTGTGTATATATATTTCCTAATATGGATATATGAATTTACTGGGTACAGAGGAATAACACCCGAGTCCTCAGGAATGGCAACGCATGGGGGGTATCATATACCTCCCCCATATAATAAACACCATATATCATGTTCCATTCCATTATCTGTCCAATGCTGAACATAGGCCTCCCCTATAGGCTGCCATGACAATGATCATAGATATAAAATATGTTTTCATTTATAAATCTTTTGAAGGTAGCTACAATTTTAAATGACACTATATGATACGGATAATGAAGACAGAGAGAAAATGAAAAATATAAGAAAAATTGTTCTCAAATAAAATTTAAAATACGACTTAATCTGGGAAATTTAATCAACCTATTTACTTGCAACACTAAAAAAGGCGTCTTTTGTTTTGATTAAGAAACACAAGAGTCAAGAATCAATCAGCCAAATGTTACATTGGCTGATTAAAACTTAAAACTAATTTTGACATTTAATACTCTATATATATATAATCTAAGTTCAATAAGTATAACACAACGAGATGCAATATACAATACGTTAACTTGAGACGGCCAGTAACAAAACTCAAGTGAATATCTCTTGTTTTAAAATAATAATAATCTTTATTACAAGCCCAATTTGTTAACATAACTTTTTTTTACAACACAGGGGGCAAACGAGCATGCGGCTCACCTGATGGTAAGTGACTACCGCTACCCATAATCACCCACAACATCAAAGGCCTTGTAGGTGTGCTGCTGGCCTTTTAAAAAGGAATATTCTCTTTTATTGAAGGTTATGATATCGTATCGGTTTGGAAATATTGCTGCTGGAAATTGATTCCAAAGAGTGGTTGTGTGTGGAAGAGAGTGCCTTGAAAAACTTTAAATACTTTAGCCTAATGTTAGTATACCTTACAATAAAACAAATAAATAAAAGAAACAATAAACAAATTCGATCGCCACTGAAGCATCCCATTTGATATACCACAACAGGGACCAATGTAAGGGCAGTTCAACCTGCTTTTAATCACATATATATTCATATTTATACTGGACTATGACTTCATACTACATTACGATATATTTATACACATCATACTCTAGGCTTTCTAGTTGTTTTGTATAAAGGTTTTTGCTTAAAAAGGATATAAATACTGCCGTTGGCTATGACTTTCCCTGTAGCGGTTTGTGTCAATTCAACGAAGGCTTTTGCGCGTTCAAAAGGCCATACATATTTAAAGTCATCAGCAGGAAAACCAAGACCAGTGAGATTATATATTCCCTGAAAACAATTAGTAAACACCATGTTTATTTGTTAAGAATTCCTATTGAGATTTTTTTGTGCAACTTAGAATGGCTGAATGTGAACAAGCTGACGGCCCACCTGATGGAAAGTGATAACCGTCGCCTAAAGACATGAGCAGTACCATGGACATAACATAGTATATTGTTACGCCCATGATACCTCCTATGCGTTGCCATTCCTGAGGAATCGGGTGTTATTCCTCTGTACTCTGTAAATTCACTGTCATATCCCATCACTTAAACGAAAACACAGCCATGCAAACACAACTGCTTTACGGTAGAAACACGAATGGAACAGAGGTGTCCAAACAAATGACTTTTATACAAAGTTTCCCTCTGGTGAAAAGTAAAAAGAAAGAGACTCGAGTTACTCATTGTAAATTGATTTGTCAAAGTTCATCAAAAACGGCATATTAAGGTTTCTCCAGAGGCAGTAATGAGCACGTGATATCTTTAGTATTGCAGACGTGCGTACATAAGCTGTAATGGCTGTTTATTATGCAACTTAGAATAACAAACAAACTGACAGTACACCTGATAGAAAGTCCCTCTTAAAACATCTCTGTTTTAAGGAGGGCAAAGGATGGCAGGGATGCTGCTGCCCATCTCTCGCCCTCCTTTAGTCGTTTCCTATGACACCCACGTGAAATATCAATTT